AACCATCCTTGAAATTAGGCTTGTACTAAATTTTCCTGTGTATAGAGACGAATTATTCATCATATGGAAAATGGCATTCATGTAAAAAAATGAGAAATGAATCGCACCGTAAAAACTGAAGCATGAGAAGGCCTCACGGGCTGTCATGCTTGGAGACAATTACTGTAGTTTGGTAATGGTTTAAATAGCTGAGGGATTGCGATCAAGTCGGTATAAATGGCGACAATGAATGAAACCCTCAATTCCTGACACTTTAATCTCATCGCATTTGTATTGTCTGACTTAATTGCAGAGCAATGGCCAAACACACGATATATGTTGCCATCAAAGAGGAAGTGCAATTTCTGTTGTACTGGCTTGGGATGAGCTTAATTATTTATAATAGCAATCTATATGAATAGTCGAAAATTAGACCTAAGTAAAATTAATCAATAAATTGAAATGTCCCAACGACGTAGCTAAGAGAGATATCAGTGATATGCCTCAGAAAACGGCTGAAGCTGCGTCTTTAATAATATATTTTGTTCAATGTTCAAATCAGCAACTAATTGCATAAATCAAGAACCTATTCCAGATAAACATAATTGTGAAACTTTAGATAGAAACCTGAAGCAGGAAATCATGACGAGCTTCTGCATTAGGATTTATTGACAAAAGTGTATCCACTAACAAATTTGTATTTTTGTGCCATGAATTTTTGATGAGTTCATTTGGAATAACTTTATTTTGATTCAATTAGTTGACGCTCCTTTGATTTTTCCCTGATATTCATTACATTTTTTGGCGATGAAACATATACATTTTCACGAAAAATTACTCACAATGAAAATGGAGGGTAATTTATGTCTCGATAAATACTTCTCATATCTGAGTTTAGTTGATTTCTTCTAAAAAATACACGTCGTAACAAAAGTTAATGTTGAATCAACAGATGACATTAAGTTAAAAAAGCAATCAGCTACTACACGACCTTCATACATTTCAATTTCTCTTCATACACTAGTCTGAAAAATTCACTTCCATGGCAGCTATTTGAGAAATATATCGTTAAATTGTAAGCTCACTGATATTTTTCCCCAGTTTATGATCAATAGCATCAGGCATTATTGACTCAAATTACACTACGTTATTATAGGCTTCAGAAAAACATGAGGACATCTTTAAGTACGCAACCGAATTAGATTTACAATGTGATATTAAAGTGTACTCAAAATACATCCTTTATTGTCAGGCACTTTAGTCAGAAAATTTTTAGGGTAGATACGAGAACAATACAGAGCGACGGTTGCCTACGCGAGACGCTAATAAAAAATCCCGTAGGACATTGATAGCGCCAAGCTCGGTGCAAAAAAACGAAACCTAACTTCCTCACGACTCGTATTGTTTTTCTTCGTAAATTGTTGCTCATTTGATCACTCGCCATGCACTCGTATTATATAAATATGATCTTCATTCCAACGAATTATGCTATAAACGTATTTTTATTCAATAAATGTTGTGAAAATAACCTGAAATCAATCATAAATTATTGTTCGCAGATTTGCTCTTGATCCACGGATGTGATTAAATTATTAGGTTATGGTAATAACAAGTACCAACTATCTTGAGTACAGATACGAAGTTAGAGTAATGCATGGAAATGTTTTGAAAAGTACGGTTTTCCGAGCAACTTTGTGCAAAAAAATCTGTTTGTTCTCCAACCAATAATGATACGTACAATGCTCATCATCAGTAAAACCGGTCAAGTGATTTTCTCAAGAATATATTTAATGAGACAAAAATATACCTCAGTACTCACTGCAGTGAGTGACAGAGAGCGCATTTTCTTGTCGACGAAAACGGGGTCACGGACGGGCGGACGGACAGACGGTTAGACAGACGGACGGACATGACCAGCACAATAGCGCCTTTTTTCCATAAATGAGAAAATGCGCTAAAAAGAGTCGGTTTGCGTAGTTATTCGAAGTCACTTGCAGAGCTCGCAGAGACGAAGTGATCAAGACGGTAGACGGGATGGAAAAAGGTTGCCACATTCAATTTAGGAAAGAGCTTTGCATGGCTCCAGCAACTTACTCGCCAGAAGGTCATTTCTTTTTGGCTGCTGACATTATTTTAGTAAATTTCGGGGCATTGTTTCCTCATCGCTGCTGACAATATTTTCAGAGAATTCCCGGGCACTGTTTCCTCATTGGGCATGTGTTTGTTTCAAAAGTATTGACGTATACGTGCCATATAACAGTGAAAAAATGAAAGTAAATCAGTTCAGATTTTGCGAAGCGCAGTCGCTGTTCATTGGTGGCTTCATTACTCAAATCTGGCTCCAGAAAATTTCCGACGCTGCTCTTGTTTTTTATCATGAAGTGAATTGTTGAGGGTACAAAGAGATGAGAACATTGGAAGAATAATAACCTGAGTGCTTGTCAATTCGCATGGCTGATAACCGATTGATTATAATCGCAGTGAGAATACAAAATATTCTCGGACACAAGGATGTATTAAAAAAAACACAAACCGTACATCGGCTGCAGTAGTTACCAATAAATTCTCACAATATTCAGTGTTCATTGACCCCTTGCAAATGTTTAAGCGAACAGCAATTTTTTTTCATTCTGGGATTCTAACGTCTAGTCATCCATCTACGTATCGTAATCAATCACTTGAGATAATTCAGAGTTGCGAACATTTTCAACAAACGTTTATTATCAAGTTCTTTGGCCGGCAAAATTCTTAGGTCAAATAATCTACCATGTACCGAATTCATCACTCAAAATCCACATCTACTGTCAAAAGTTGAACATTCAAAGGTGTATTTCCTCAAAATGTACACTTCACATTTATTTCGATTTGATTTGTACGTATGCAGCCAGAAATCAACATCTGCAGTAGCGTCACAGTAACTGAATCAACCGCATTTGTTTCATCTCGAATGCACGTAAACATTTTCTATACTAGTTCAAATCAACTTAGTATCAATAACACAAACTTTTCCCTCCCTTAATACTCGGGAAAAAAATCTTTGCCTTGCTCTCTTGATTAAACAATTTATGCACAAATCAATGCCGAAATGTTCCTTGTTTAAGGGCTGTTGAGGAGATCAGTGCCTTCATTTTTTGGGACTGCAGGCCTGGGCGAAGTTCATTTTAGTTTTCGCAGATCAAACAGTGGCATCAATTGGCTTGAAAAAAGTTTGCAGACATTAAAAGAAATCATCGCTCCCAGGCAGTAATTATCAGATGAAAATGTATGAAGCTAGTGAGAGATGAAGTTTTGACGCACGAAGAAAGTTCTTTGGTGGGAGATAAAAAGAACCTTTGAGGAAACGGAAAGTTAATGGGTGTACTGGACAGTGCCTATGCACCTATATCATTGGTAATTTTATCATGCTATTGTACAAGCTAAAAATCATCAGCTGAATGCTTCGAATAATACTCGAAAACATATTTTGGCTTTCAGCACCAATGCCTTCTTCTTAGTTATATCAAGTTATATATTTTACATCCAGTCGACTTGAAGATTTTAACGACGACGTTAGTTTTGATCATAAATTAGACGATGGTATATTTGAAAACGACGACAGTAGATTTGAAACTAAGTTCAACTTTTATTTCCTTGTTTGATAAATTTTATTCAACGCTCATTTTGTTCAATGCATTGTTCAATCGCGTCGTAAAATCTGCCAATTCTATAATTTAATTATGCATTTATTTTGAGAGTCTCGATGATGATGTTTTATTTGTGAATAAAATTGGTCATTCTAAGAACATTATAAAATTGAAAATTCAGTTGATCTAAAACTCCATTTATTATTTATTGGAAACAATAACTTTGCTATTAGCCAATAACTTTTATGCCAAAAATTAATTCCAGTAAGTGGATTAAACCTCCAGCGAGATTTGATTCACTCAAAAACCGACTTCACAAGTCTAGGAAACGCCATCAGTCACGGTCACAAGTGGCACCTGTCGCTGCCTGGAAATTGTTATGCATTGAAAACTTGTGTGCGTGAAAACTTATGTGTTCGTGAATAGAGTTCATCGAACTTGCCCGTGATATCGTCGAATTAAAATAAATAACTTCTATCGAAGTTATTTTTTTTTGATACAATAAATCGTATTTGATCATTTGTTGTTTATCAAAATAAGCTTAAAAGCAATAATATTTACCGTAATTATTGTTTGTAGCTTTTTGAACATTTTCAGTACCGTCTGTGATTATTTCATAATTCAAATTTGTACGATTTACAACTCTCTCATGCATTTAATACCAATTTAAATAATATTTCGATCGCTAATTTATATGACTAACCATTGAACTCTACCCTGATGAAAACGCTCTTACCGTAACTGATAAAATTGTTTAAATATATTAATACTCTTCTTGTTTACATGTCAGGAATCATATAATTTGTAGCTTATTAGCGAATTAAATTGCCAACTAATCAGTATACTTTCTTCTGCATAGGTCTTCTGATTCCGAAGAATTGCAACAATTGGTACGAATATCCCTATAGTTGTGTGATTTTTTATATTTATCAATAGAAGAAAATTTAGTTTTCTAAAAGACTACAACAGATGATGACAAAATAAGATCACCCACAAAGCCATTTTATTAAGTCGGGACACTATAAGTAATCTATATGAAACCATTTCATTTTATCACTACCTTAAGACGATGAATAGCGCATAAAGCCTCACATAAGTTAATACTAGAGTAAAATTAACGCGAGTAACCTTATGAATTGAGTGATTGAAATGAACACTCGCATAAGGAGATGATACGAGAGCACCTTCTACCGCTCTCCAGCAAGGGAGTAAAAATAATTGCAAAAGTGAAATTACTACATCGATCATTATAAGTTAAATGATTTTAATGACCACTTGCACAAGCAGAACGAGAGACCCTCTACCCACGTGGCCGGTCTAGAAAGTGGTAATAATCAAAGCAAAAATAAAATTACTATATGTATCCTCGGGTATAAAGTTATTTAAATGATTACTCACACAAGAAGATGGTAAGAAAGCGCCCTCCATCCACGTGGCCGCTCCAGGAAGTTATATATCTTGGCCTGGAGTTTGCGGTAGCGCTGGTCACGGCGACTGTTCTTGTAGTTGAGAGGCTTGCCTAGCAGCGACATCCTGGGCTGCGTTAGGCGGCTACAGCCTCCTACGCGGCGTCTGCTTTCGCCACTGCTGAAATAATACAATAAATTATTAGGTTATAATCCAGTGCTTAGTTTTTTAGGAATAGTTTAGAGTAATCAGTGAAATTTTGCTAATTATCAAGGGGCAGGTATGGACTTGGGAATGAAGAATGATCTCAACTGGTTTGCATTGCAGGGTTAGAATATGTGATTAAAAATCTACTGAAGATCGAGGTTTTCGGTGACCGCTGTCAATAATATGGTCAAACTAATAAGAATGTTTTGTAATAAGTTTTGAGGACATTTTCCGCCACTGGCAGTGCGTACAGTGTAGCCAGGCTCCATTGAGTGTAGTTACCTATTTCTGTACCTCCATTTATTACGGCCAATCATTTGCCAGGTTTTCATTACCGTGCACTAAATGATCGCATACAAAATCAAAGAATATAAGGCATTTCATTTTTTTATCTAGGAAATTATTAATAATTTCATAAACGAAAGTTATTATGAACGAAAAATTAAAAAAAAAAATCGGGAGAGATGCATTTTTGGTGTGATCATATTTTATCATGATATGATCATATTTTTCTCATGGGGAAAAATTGGTTGGTTGAAAATATTTTTTTCCTACTTTTCGACTCCATTATTCGGCACTAAATCGAGGATTTTTTCTTTCGAAAAATATTTAGCATAGTATATTATGGGTGCGTTTTCATCGGAAATAAGCCATTAATTGCCTAATCTTGACCGGTCACGCATTTATCATTCGTTCCACCAATTGAGCAATATATATGGCTTTATAGCTTGAGATGAGCATTTCAAGTTCGTTTCATTTGCACTGAATAATGTTTTTTCTGGAAGTCATATAGAAAAGCAACTCTTCTATTAGTTTACAATTAACTATCTTTTTAATTAATTTTTTCATTAAAAAATTTTACAATTAACTTTTCAAACATTAATTTAAAGATTTCGTTATTCGATTAAACTTGCCTTATTTATTTTAGCTTATCTAGTATTCCTTTGATTATTTAAATCTCTAACTGCTGATTAGGTTAGAGAAATAATCGAAATTACTATCACAACGGCAAAACCTTAACCATACTAAACAGAGATTCGGTGCAAGAAAACCAAACGAAATTCACATAACTGCACATCAAACTTCCGAATTTATTTGGGCACACCAAGTGTCTGGGAAATTTGCATGTTTGACTATTTTTATGAGTGTAATTATTCCTAACACTTGATCATACAGATATAACAAAAAAAACACGAGGGCTATAGGAAGTTGTTTGTTTATATGCGGCGACTGTCAAATAACAGACACTTCAATAATAGGTACAATTTTTTGAACGTTTTTGTATGAGTGTTATTATTCCAGACACTTGTGCATACAGATATAAAAGAGAACATAACACGAGGGCAATAGGAAGTTGTTTATTTATCTGCGGCAACCGTCAAACAAACTCCTCAATAGGTTCAACTTTAGGCCGGAAAAACACCAAGTTTCTTGCCTCAGGGGCGATAGTTTCTCAGCAGGGCTTCAGTTCAATAACAACAAAAAATTTATGGATTTTTCAAAGAATAATAAACAAAATGGCACCAAATAACTCAGGACCCACGTTACAGAGCTCCAATGGGCAAAACATTGTGAGGATGATTTTTTCGCTATTCCGAGTTACGAGTTGGTAGAAATTATTTTCCCCACATATTATATCTATGAATTGCAGGCGACCTTTTACACGAACCAGGCGACTAAACTTTAGCGTTTACTTAAAATGCCACAAAAAATTGGTTCCAATTTAAATTTTGCGACAGTTTAAAAAATACTGTTTTTTGTCTTGTAATATTGGAGTCAACAAAGCACGTATCTCGCAAAGAATTTTTGATGCTCCTATTCTGAGACGCATATCGCGCTGACAGTAAAAAGCACCGTTCACTTAAATTCAAATCTGTCAAAGTGAAATATGCATGAGAAAAGCTCTTTCATGTCTTCAATACGAGCCAGTTGCGCATGTTTCAAGAACTCCGTCTTTAAAAGTAAAGGTGAACATCAAAATTTCAATGGGGTTTGATCAAAATTTTCTATTTATGTTTCCTTTTTAAGAGTGTTAGTATTGTTATTTAAGTTTCCGGAAATTCATTTAATGATCTTTAAACAATTCGATTTTTCTTAGTTACTCATAATGGGAGATTCTCTCGCTAAAGTTCGTGGCGAAAACCTACATCAGGGTGATATTTAAGGTATTTAAAAGTATTACCTTTTAGTAAGGTGATAGTTAAAAGAATTTTTATTATTCATCGCATTTTAAGTTTTCCCTTTCCATTTACTTGATTTACATGTAACACTTTTTTCACACATGTTTCAATGAGCCGCAAAGACTGAGTCATAGTTCTTTTTGATCAACTAAAAATCGTAGATTTTATGTCAGTAATTTCAAATTAGGAAACTGAGTAATATCTTCCAAGATTTAAATAAAACCATACCAACAAAAAGACACAAAAAACTATTAAATCTCTAGTCTCTCATAAAATGATCATAAAACGTTGAGATTTCCAACAGGGGGCAACAAACCGACATGACTCGAGGCTTACACGCCACAGAGAAAGACACTTGTGCACAGCGCCACATCTGGGGTTGGGTAAGTATGGCTTAATGTGGCAATTTGGGCCCTGGGTCACAGCCACAGACATCTGAAGTCCACTGACAAAGTCTGGGGCTCCAGAGGGCAATTCAGCCGCTGCAAGTTGGCTAAGAGCAGCAACAGCTGCGCGACTGCAGTGAAATGCAGGTGCTATGTCTCTCATATGTTATATGTAACAAACAAGCAACAAATTCACAATCTGTGCTAATGGATTTAGCTCATGGGAGTTGAGAAAGAATTTTGTAGCGACATACAAGATTTTTTGTAACTGATGCCACTTCTGGAACATGAGTAAAAGAGTAAAAAATAATAAAAATAATCATAATAATAATAATAATAAATAAAAGAAAAAATAATATAATAACTAAGCAAAAAATTATTGAACAAAAGAACAGTAAAATATAAAATGCAATAATGTAACATAGCATGGACGGTAAACCCACTGAAGAGAACAAGACACGGTGGAGCCATGGAACACGGCAGAGCCAAGGAGCATGGCAGAGCCGCAAAGCATATCCATACACACCTGCATCTTTATCTATCCAGCACATCATATCTATATACACATGGGCCTCCTCAGAGAGGCGGCCCAACAACCAATTCAGCTAGTGCAAAAAAAAAAATAATAATAATAATTCAACTTCAATTTCAAAACATTCAAAATTCAAAGGAAACAATACAATTTCAAAAATTCAAAGGAATCAATACAAAGAAAGAAATAGAATAAAATAAAAATTCCCAGCCCAGTTAAAATCATAATAATAATAATGATAATAATAATAATAATAATAATAATAATAATAATAATAATAATAATAATAATAATAATAATGATTTGATACTAGAAATATTCTTACCACAGGAACATCCACTAAAATATAAAGTGAAGAATTGATTTGATTGCGAAGTAATCTAATATTGACGGGCACATGGGACATAATTATAATAATAATATAATTATATTATTATTATAATTACCATTATTATTATCATCATTAAAATTATTATTATTTCTGTTATCATTATTAGCATTATTATTTTAACTATTGTTATCTTAAAATTATTATTTTTATTATTATTATAATTATTATTTTATGATTACTATTTCCTAGTTTTTTACTAGCGACAAAAATTTGCATATCTTTCCAGTATGCCTGGACGTAGCATAATCTGCCTGAGTTGCTTGATGGACGCCCGTAAAAGCTTCGCTTTTTTCCACTTTTCTGCGGCTCTTGCAAACTCAAGATTCAAGAGTCTCTTTCCTGGCTGTTCAATAAGAAACCTCATAAAAAATCAAATTGTCTTACCACATTCCATTGTATGATCGAAAAATTCTTGAAAAGTACACGAAAATAAAACTTTGAAAGGCTATGAGCAATGCAAGCCGCGAAATTTGAAATCCAATTAATTCGGGAAATTTACGATGAAAAACCCTAACTAATAGTTTCTTAAAAATTACGTCCTGTCTCATTCTGACTTCTTTGTAATTCAGAAATCTTCCTGGAATTATTAATAATATGCGTTTAAGAATTACTTTTTAAAGACAACACTTCTGAAGAATCCGGTGTCTTTGATGTAACACATGTACAATGAATTTCCAATTTTATTTTCAAATATAAAAAAAATCATTTTTCAAAATTTTTTAAGATGTCAAAGTTTTGTAAATTTTCAAAATTAGTTATTCTGTCAACTGATTCAGGCATTGTCTCTGACTTTATGCAATTGTGCAAAATTTCAGATCTATTGGACAGGTCAAATTGTGTCATATTATAAGATTTGTAGCAGACGAAACTATTTTTAAATTTTTTTCATATTGAAAAAAACTTTTTAATTTATAAAACTATTTATTCTGTCAATTGATTCATGCATTGTTTTCAACTTTGCGCAAGTGTGCAAAATTTCAGATAGATTTGACAGGTAGAAGTGTGTCAAATATTGATAATGAGGTTTGTAGCTGACAAAACTTTGTTATTTTTTTTAATACTGAACAATTTGTTTTATTTTTAAATTTATTTATTCTGTCACTTGATTCATGCATTGTCTCCAACTTTATGCAAGTGTGCCAAATTTCAGATCGATTGGACAGGTATAAGCGTGTTAAATATCAATTATAAGATTTGTAGCAGACAGACAGACAAACAGACAGACAAACAAACAACAAGAAGTGAAGTTAAAGAGAAGTGTTGCAAAAAAAGGAAGGTCTTTCTTTTGGTGTAAAGCCAATAGTTTAAAGTAATTAAAAACTTGTTTTATTTTAACTATTAGACCTTCCGCGACTATCCGACGCAATTTCAGCCAATGTCGTCAAATTGTTCTTTACTGGCTTATTGTAGACAAAAACATGACGTGAAGAGGGAACAACATTTCTTCCACCTCTATTCGTCATTAACTTAATAT